TTTCCTTAGATAGAAAACTTTGATTCAATCTGATTGGATGATCTGGTGAACTCTAAAGTGACCTGAGATGACATGATTGGAGCTATAGAAATAGACTGAATAGAATTGATCGTCCTTGGTAAACATTTGATGTGTTCAGTGAATGTTGGGGAGTCAGGAAGCCTCAGCGGGTTCACTCACCGTTCCTTTTCTGTCCAGCAGGTTCATGGAGGGTGGAGGTGACCGGTCTGGTCCCGCCGGCGAACACGGCCACGGTAACGGCGGTCACCACGGAGCAGCAGCGGACACTGGCCACACGATGACCTCTGCTCATCTCGTCGTAGATCAGCCAGTCGGTGGGGAGGCTCTGGGTTAACCTGGAGCTGTTCTGAACACAAAGGAAGCAACGCCTCAGCTAATCCAGCTAGAAATCTGTTAATCTGGACTCAGACCTGAACCTTCAGAGGATACAGGAACAAAGGTGGTCTTCAGTTACCTGCAGAACGTCTCCGGGATTAATGGACTAGAGAAAAGACCAGTAACTCTGTCTGAAAGCAAATTAGTGAGCGCTGGGATTTCTAACGAGCACCTGAATGCCCCATCACTTGAAAACTCAATAAATCTGATGTTTTCAGTCAGAGAGGTGGATAAGAAATGTTTATTTAGCCAGTCAGTCGATCCATGAATCTGTGATCGACCTGATGGTCTGGATGACTGAAACCTGGCTGAGGAAGCAGCACCTGCTTGGTTTCTACTGAACGAATGAAGCAGGTTGATCTGAACGAGTCTGGATCCTGATCTGACCCTGGATGTTCTGAACGCAGGTGTCAGGTCAGCAGCTCTGCGTGTCAGTCACCTGTTCCCCTGAGGGGCGCGCATCCCTGGATGGTATTACACTGCAAAAACAAGGAGTTAAACGTTCGTAAATGAAGCGGATTTATCCTTAATCTGATTATCTGCAATGGAATGAGTGTTTTTACTCTTTAAATAGGATAATCAGATAATATGTGCTTGAAATAAGACAATGCAATTGTTTATTTCTTAATATAAATGTAAATTATCTTGTTCCATTGCCAGAGGGTCTCAATTTAGGAAAGAATTAACTTATTTAAAAAATGGTTTTAGTATTTTGCAGTGTAATGCTACGTTCACACCGGACGCGCTTAGAGCAGCAAAGTCTATGGTGGAAGTCACTGGGCTCTATTTATTCACTGGATTGCTGATTGCCTGAAACAAAGTGAAGCTACTGGCCGCCATATTGGTACTCCCCGCTCCCATGGAGCCGTGCAGTAAAAATGCCTCCCTGTGCAGAAACCAGCAGTTTTCTGCCTGCAGGAAGACGTTCCAGATAATTTCCCAGTCAGTGGATGAACTAAGCAATAAATCCATCTATAGCCGATGGATCCTATAGTTTAGTCTGCAGACTAACATTAGTCTGGCTATCTCAGACTGACTGGAAGACATTGACTGAGTTAGACGCTGACATTGGGTCTAACGTTAGAAAACAGGAAGT